AAAGAAGAGTTCTACTGTAATTCCATATTGATCATTGGATCTGTGAAGGAGAAAGGGTTGTTCTCCTTATTGTTTTTGAATCTCAACACTAGGAAATGGTATTCCAAGGTGTTGGAAGATTCAAGTCTTGTAAGTACTACAAGAATAGTGAAAATCTCAAGTTGGAGACTTGAGGACTGGATGTAGGCAAGTTTGGCCAAACTAGTATAAAATCAAGTTTGCAATTCTTCTTCCCTTCACTTTTACTTACTTGTTATTTAATTGTGGTTGAGTAGTTTTTATATCATTACATACATTTTGGTTAAATAAGTAAATTTTTAGAAGGCATCTTTAAAAATTGAAAAAGAGAAGAAAAATTAAGATAACTTAATTCACCTCCCTCTTAAGTTATATGAGGTTTATTGACTAACAACCTCAATATGAAATCTTACCTTCATTATTTTGTATCTTGTATCACATGTTTTAGCATATTGCAGCCATTATTTATGCCACTCAAAAACTGCAAAAATCGAAATGTTGAAAAATCAATGTTTGAAAACAAAGTTCATGTTAATGAGTTTTAATGAAGTGAAAGGCAAAATATATGTAGTAATTGTGGTTAACCATTTACATATCTAACAAAAACAATTTTCTTAAATTAAATAATAATTTTAAAAATATGTAAATAAATTATCATTGTCATTGAAGAAACAAACAATATTATGAAGGAGAAATATATGTTAAGACAGTAAAATTTATTTACAAAAAAAATAGAAGTGTGAGAAAAAGAATAATAACTATAGGAATTAATGATTACATTTCATTATAAAATGTTGATCAAAATTAAAGTTGTAATTTAGTCAACCACTAATAATAAAACACCTATTAGAATTTTAAGTTTTTAAATCTTTGGCTTCCAAATCACACTTATTAGGATAAATTTAAAATTTTTGGATAGTGAATTCATTCAATTTCGTTCATCTGCCCTTACAGTTATTGACTTTTGATCTGCAGACAGTTGAAACTGAAAGCTTATTGAAACTAATCCTTTCAGCTGAAGAAGTTCCAGGTACATAATTATTCGAGATTCGGAGTTTTGTTACTATAGACTCGAGTCATGTGAACACCATAAATAGCAACACATATCATGAAGACGTAAAAAAGACGCGGTGACATTTTTGTAATTTTTGTGAACTTTTTTACGTCGGACCTGGTAGGGTCCGACTTAAAAAATAAAATCTACGTCGGATGTACGTTGTGTTCGACGTAGATTTTACATTTTACGTCAGACCCTACCAAGTCCGATGTAAAAAAAAGACGCGAAAGCGAATAAGAGAGTGGGAGGCACACCCGCACACATTCACTCACTTGGATCTCATCATCACTTTTCTATATTCTTCTTTACAAACCCTCTCCCTCTCCTTTGTTGCTGAATCATTTTTTTTGTCTTCTGCAAAGTGGGGTGAACTTTTCGTTATTCATTCACACACTGTTGTAGCTCATCAGGTATGAATCAGGGTTTCGCTAACACTTTTTTGTTTCGCATTGCTATTGTGGGTATCTGTTCTATTCAGTTTTTTGGTTGTTCTATTTGTTTGGGTTGTTGGCCTTTTCTTCTGGGTTGTTCTATCAAGCAGAACGGCCCGTTCCCAAAGCAGAACGGCTTGTTCCCAAAGCAGAACGGCCCGTTTCCAAAGTAGAACAACCCGTTCTCCATGTAGAACAGCCCGTTCTGCTTGCATTCGTTATGTTTTTTTATTTATTTATTGTTTTACTACTTTTTTACGTTGGACCTTGGTAATGTCCGACGTAAATTTATGTCGGTTTTCAAAACCGACGTAAATTTACGTCTCCCACATTAACGTCGGACTTTTTCTTGACGTAAAAAACTTAAAATAACCGAATGTAAATTACTTCTTTTGTACTAGTTATTAGTTTTTAGTAATTCCCTATCATAGAATAATTTCTTGTAGTTTGAGTTGCCTACTGTGTACCAATTATTTATCTATATTTTTCGCATGTATGAGTCGAGATGTCAATTTTGTGATCTATCTAGAGGTTAGAAAAACATTAGAGGGTATGATATAACAATATTCCAAATATGTTTTGAATGTAAACAAGCTCATCATGAAATGTTTAACGTTATTTTTATTTTCATAGTAAGTAAATCTACATCAAATAACTTTACTGATTGCCTCTTCTCTATAATTTTTTCATTCTATTTTAGAAGGTATGAAACTTTACATTTCTGACAACAAGGTGATCTTGATGGTGTTGTTCCACCCAAGTATTTTGGAAAGATAGAATCATGGCCTGGCACACAGCGTATTCCAAATATGTTTTGATTTTGTTTATGTTAGGATCACAGTGTAAACCTCTTGCAATAATTACAATTGAATTCCTAGTTTCTTTTGTTTAAATGATTTAGGAAAGTTTACATTGGATGTGTGTGTATAGTATAGGGTGTCATTAGGGTGTGTGTATAAAGATACAGTATTATGTGTCATTAGAGGATGTTATTAACGGGGCATGTCTAAATTAACTATTTTATTTTAATTTTACAAGAAAATAATAATTATAAGAATTGTAATAATTTATAAAGATAAAGTTGCCCAACTCGAATGTACCAATTTTAAAATAATAAGATTAACAAGGTACATAAATTATGATTAGTGTTATTATAGTTATTTTTCTTATAAAAATAGAAAATAAGATTAGTATTATCATAGTTATTTTCTTACGAAAATAGAATTTAAATTAGTGTTATAAATTATTTTCTTATAAAAAAAAATACAAGATAAGAAATTGAATTAGACATGATTAATCCTGTGTTTCAAAATGCCACACTCAACTTTTGACAGTTTGGTGATGTCAATTTAAATAAAAAGTATCCAACCCAAACATATGTAACACTAAGTTTTTCGCTATACAGGTGCAACTGAACATAGTTTTATCTAATTTTATCCTTGTTGTGGTCAAAAATAAATTTTGAAACATTTTTCTTTTAATTAATAAAAATATAAGTATTTTTTAACAATAAAATATATATTAAAATCTTTAACTCAATATTTTACATTGTTAAAAAAAATGTGAAAAACAAGCTTTTTTAGGTAGATTTTTTTATATATAGATAGAAGGGACTCAAAAGGAGTAAAAAAAAATTTCTAAAACCCGTATCAATAATTTAGCAATTAATTACAAGGTAATCTTTTAAGAATGAATTTCGAATATAGTGAAATTTAATTTTCGATATTGGCATAATCGACTCTCCATCTTTAACTTAATATTTTACATTGTTATCAAATCATCTTGGATTAATATAAAATTTTGTATATATGATCTAAGATATATATATGAACTTTCAATCTAATTAACAGTTGAATTTACAAAATTCACATTTAATATAAAGTTATTTAGCAGTATAACACTTGGTAAAAATTACACCGGTGTAATTATAATCCCCTTCTATATATATATATATATAGATATATATATATATTGTAAGAATCAAGGAGTAACAAAACCATAACAAATTGTAACAATGTAATAAAATATTAATTACATTAATTTTTAATTATTGACATTTTTAAAATAAATTGAAATTAAAAATTCGCATAAAATAATTTCACATAGAGAAAAAAAAAACTTTTGAAATATTATTTCCCTTCAAAACTTTTCATCAAAAGATTTCCTGCAACCTCTGAAATATTACTTTGCCAAAACTTTTCACAAAAAAGTTTTCTATAAAACTCCCATAAATATATAAAAAATTGAATGACATAATATAAACAATTAATTATATTAATTATTAATTATGAACGATTTTAAATAAATGTAAATAATTACAGACACTTTTAAATTAATGTAAATAAAAAATCACGTGATTTTCATAAAAATTCACATATAAAACAAACAACTCTTGAAATATCAATTCCCTCCAAAACTTCTCAGTAAAAAAATTCCTAAAACTTTTGAAAATATTACTTTTCTAAAGCTTTTCACCAAAAAATTTCCTATAAAACTCACATAAATATATAACAAAATTTTAATATAAAAAATTTTAACGACATAATGAACAATTAATTATATCAATTATTAATTATGAAAGGTTTTTAATGAATACAAATAATTACGGACAGTTTTATATTAATGTAAAAATAAAAATAAAAAAAGCTTCTTTCCCCCAAAAAATTATTTCCAAAATTTTATATTAATTAAATTATATTCTCATCCAAAACTTCTCACAAAAAATTTCTCAACTTCTAAAATAATATAAGAGCAACAATTTCTTTTCTCCAAAAGTCTAACAACTTCTTCCCTATGTAAAGTTCTTCAGAAAATTGCCTAAAATTTTTTATATTAACTAAATCATATTTTCATTAATCATTGAAAAATTAATTGATATATTAAAAACTATTGAAAAACTAATATATTAATATGGTGTCAAAAAAATTAATATATTAATAAAGAAATAATATTTTGTAAGAATCAAAGTGTAACAAAATCATAAAAAAATTTGTAACAGTGCCATAAAATAGTAATTACATTAACGATTAATTATTGACAATTTTGAAATAAATTGAAATTAAAAAATCCACTTAAAAAAATTCACATATAAAACAAACAACTTTTGAAATATTACTTTCCTTTCAAAACGTCTCATAAATTTTTTTTTACAACCTATAAAACTCACATAAATATATAAAAAAAACTATTATTATAAATAAAAAAAACGACATAATAAACAATTAATTATATCAATTATTAATTATAAAATGTTTTAAATATATGAATACAAATAATTACAGATAATTGTAAATTAATATATATATTCTTTGATAGGAATGACATAATAACAACCTAAATCCATATCATTGTCCAAATTTAAACGGTTGTTTAACATTGATTGTTGAAAATAAGTTGGAAAACGTCCATACAGATATGTTACAACCATTAACATGCACAAGCCCCATGATCTCAACCTTCACAATGCAAAAGGCTATAAAATGTACTTTTCTGTCTACGTAAGGATCATATAATTTATCATTTTATTAACTACATTTCCAATGGCCAACATAGTAGTTTGCCTTTTTTCAATAATAATCTTCCTTTGCACTACAGCAGCACAAGGGAGACAAAATTTTCACCCTAACAATGAATGGCCAACATCCTCTTTAGTTACTAACCAAGATGGTGGTATTTGCCAAACAATAGTAGAGACACAAGGTTACACATGTGAAGAACATCAGGTACATATTAGTTATTACGTATTATGATGTTGCATCTCCTTGCCAATGATTATGAAGGCACTTTAAATAATTACTTTCTGAATGGAGCCAGGTTACAACAGATGATGGCTACATCTTGAGCTTGCAGAGGTTGCCGGCCAGCCGGTCCGGTAAGAAAGCCGACAAGCCGCCGGTGCTATTGCAACATGGTCTTTTTTGTGTAAGTTGTGTTGATTCTTAGAAAAAAAATACTATGACAAAATAATTATCTTACAGAATAAAGTGAATATGGAACTAAGATAATTGTTAGTATGTAAGTATAAATGAGAGTCACTCATTAGATAGAGTTGAAAACGTTAAATAATATGTAAAAGATAAAGATGCATAAATCTAATGACTTAAGATTTTGGATTGAAATGCAATGTCGAGTTTAGTTCTGTAATTTGCTCATGGCCTATTTAAATGTCACCGTGTTACTTTTAAGATCGGCTCTTTAGTGACCGATCTTAAAAGTTGTAACCTTATTTAAAAAAATGTCACCGTGTCACTTTTAAGATCGGCTCTTTAGTGACCGATCTTAAAAGTTGTAACCTTATTTACAAAAATGTCACTGCGTCACTTTTAAGATCGGCTCTCTAATAACCGATCTTAAAACCCCGATCCTGAAACTAATTTTTGTACTAGTGTGCTTGTGTTCCCAACAATAATGAACTTGTGTTGTGTGTTTTCAGGATGCCTTTACATGGCTAGTCAATTCTCCAAATGGATCATTGGGATTTATCTTAGCAGACGATGGATATGATGTGTGGCTTGCTAACACTCGTGGGACAAAATATAGTCGCGGGCACAAATCGCTTCTTCCTAGTGACAAGGTTCTTTTCCTGACAAGGGGCATGCATTTTAGTTTTCACTAAACCAGTTGATATATAGCTAGCTACTTTAATGGATAATTGTTTTATTCATTTTGTGTAGGATTATTGGAATTGGTCATGGGATGAGTTATCTAGTTACGATCTTCCTGCTTTTGTCAACTATGTGTACAGCCAAACCGGTCAGAGAATGCACTATACAGGTCATTCCTTGGTTAGTTTCTAGTCTCTTTGACTCTTTCTGTTTGTGTTAGTTTTGTCAGGTCAGATAAGGTAAATTACTGTTAGTTGCTGTATGTTGTCGTGTATACTTTTACTATCGACCAATAAAAAATTATTCTTAGTATACTTTTACTATCGATCAATAAAAAACTAATTTACATTATTATTAGTAGTACAAAGACTTGATTAAGCCTCCTACAATTATAGTGTTCTAAGTAACAATAACCTGAAATTTCAGGGAACCTTAATGGCTTTGACTGCTTTCTCACAAGGGAAATTGATGGACATGTTGAGATCAGCTGCATTACTTTCTCCAATTGCTCATATGCATCAAATTGCATCTCCAATAGCAACACTTGCTGCCGACACATTTTTAACTGATGTGAGGGACAGAAGAAAAATTAATCATTTAGCATAGCATTAATATATCAATTTATTTTTTAATGTTTTTCCTTTTTTTAATATAACAGCAACTATACTGGTTAGGACTCCGTGAATTCATTCCAAACGGGTAACAGAAAAACCTTAACCTTGAACTTTTATAATTTTTCTTGTGCTAAAAGTTAAGAGATGAAAGAAAGTAAGAGGAATTTCAATGGACAATAGTGGCTGAATATTCTTCTAATGAGCAGGGATGCTGTTAGCAAATTTGTGGAAGGATTGTGCAGTAAAATAAACTTGAAATGCTCAGACCTATTGTCACTTTTCACAGGTACTATGAATGTTATTGGCAACAAGAATATGAGAAGGAATTAAATTTCACTTTATGTTTCGTACTGATTGTTTTGATATTCCTTTCCCTGAAATTCTAGGTCCAAATTGCTGCTTTACTTCCTCCAAATTAAATGCCTTTCTTGATCATGGATTGCAGTCAACAGCAACTATGAACTTGATTCACCTATGTCAAAGTAAGTACACTAACAAGAAAATTTGATAGTTCTTGTTAGCAAACTTGATTATCTTGTTTGTGACCAAGTGTGTCATTTGATTTTGAAGCATTTGATAGTTCACAAGCTCACCAAAATAGAATACATAATTAAGTTTAATAAGTCCTAAACATGCAACTTTGTTAAATATTTAGGGATAGAGTTTTATCATTTATAGTAGTTCAATTTGACTTGAAAATGATTGTCTCTAATAGAGAATAATTATCGTCTATAAACAAAATGCACAATTATGAACATTGTTATTAATCATGCAAATACGTTTATATGGTACATTTTGAACATTAAATTGTGTCAGAATGTTGACATCTGTGTCATATTTGGATTCATGCTTCATAGATTATGAGTATTGGTTCCAACATAATTTCTTATTGACCCTTCTGAGCAGTGATCAGAACAGGAAGTATAGCAAAGTATGATTATGGTGATCCAGAACAGAATATGTTGCACTATAGACAACTGTTTCCTCCTTCTTATGTCATGACAGCAATTCCAAATGAATTCCCTCTTTTTCTCAGCTATGGAGGTTTAGACACACTATCTGATGTAAAGAATGTGCTGCTTTTGCTCAGTGACCTCAAAGATCATGATAGAAACAACCTTGTGGTATTATTCAAAGACGATTATGCTCACGTTGATTTTTTCATGGGAGCCAATGTCAAACAAGTTATTTATGATCCTATGGTAGATTTCTTCAAGGCTAATTGATTTCACAACTATTATTCATTGCACTTCATATAATGTTATTTTTGTTTATTCATTAGGTTAGTACATTAAAATATGTTACATTTTTCTCTTGATCAATGACTACTATGTTCTGTTTCTCAGCAATAACAAAGTATATTCTATTCTAATTGAACATTCTTGTATGTATGTCTTTTGAAGTAGAGATTCGCCAAATTTCCTTATCAAGAGTCCATTTGTCGATCCCATATTTTTTTTAACTTACTAAATACTTAAAAGTTGTTTGAAAATAAGAGCTTAATACAAATAAGTAGAAGTTGTTTGTTATTTTTTCCTTTTTAACTTAAAAGTTCCTTTTAAGGTAAATTTTTTTTTTTGTTAAAGTAAGTTTTAATTTTATTTAAAACTTGTGATTTTGTCATGTAATTATTATTTTGCAAAATTAATTTTATCTACATAAAATAATTTTAATGATAATAAAATTTAATTTTTTAAATATCGATTTCCAAAACTTAAATTTTTAAAAAGTCAGAAATTATTTTAATTAATACAATTTTATCTTAATAATTATTTACAAATAATATATTAATAAAATAAATAAATATTAGTTATAAAAGAGAAAATAATTAAGTTTTTCTAGATGACAATTACATACACATATTAGTAATATTTTGTTATATATAATGTTCAGGCAACCATAGATGATTGATGATAAAAATAATTTGTAATGAAAATGTGCTAAACAAGTTAAGCTCAAAGTTGATTTTTTTTTAAACAACACAAGTTAAAGTGTTGAATTAAATTTGATTAAATAAATAAGTCTGACTCATTTATATCCCCCTAATTGTAGAGAAAGATTATAAAAATAAAAATAAAAATGAGGATATTAATTTTTTATGAGCATGAAATTATATAGAAAGCTAAAAGAGGATACTAAAGTCTAACAAATACAGTACCCAAAATTAAATTTTTTTTAAAATATCGATATCCAAAATTAAATTTTGAAAAGTCATAAATTATTTTAATTAATACAATTTTATCTTAATAATTATTACAAATAATATGCATTAATAAAATAAATAAATATTAGTTATAAAAGATAAAATAATTAAGTTTTTCTGGATGACAATTATATACTATTACCTATACTTATTAGTAATATTTTGTTATATATAATGTTCAGGCAACTGTAGATAATTGATGATAAAAGTAATTTGTAATGAAAATGAGCTATAAAAGTTAAGCTCAAAGTTGATTTTTTTTAAAACAACACAAGTTCAAGTCTTGAATATTTAAATTTGATTAAATAAATGAGCCAAACATGAATAATTAATTTTTCTTATGATTTGAGTACAAATTTCAAAAACTCAATTTGATTTGACTCATTTATACTCTCTAATTGTAGATAAAGATTATAAATAAATAAAAATGAAGATATTGATTTTTTGCTAATCTTTTTTTTTTTTTTTACACGTATGAAATTATATAGAAAGCTAATAAAGGAGAATACTAAGGCCTGACAAATAAAGTACCCATAGCTTCAGCTAGAACAGGAGGAAGGATAGGTGACGAACATAGCTATAAGATTAATTAAACTGCATGCGTAGTCAATTTATCTTTCTCTTTTACTTATCAACTTGCCATGAAATTACCTTGCCTTGTTAGAGTATACTTGAAGAAGAGTCCACGAGAGATCAATGATGCATTGATGCTATTGTTAGCTTATGAATGATAAACATTGACCCCATTAGTGATGAAGATCTGAGCAAAAGTGTAGAGTCCATTTCACATGAGTCTATGACATACGTATATACCCAATTTCTTTAGCGACTTTTAAACCAAAATATGTGGCATAAAGCTCAGCAGTCATAACAATTGAGAAGCCACAACTACCTAAATAATTATAAATTCAATTTCCTAAGGAATCACGAAGCATATCTCCAAAAGACATGGGTTCCCAAAGGATTCGATATTATGCCCTATGGAAGAAATCCCAAAAGAGATACAATGCATTGAACACCACTTGATGTGCATAGGGACAATCCCAAAGAATATGATGAATCCAAGTTTCTTGAGCTAACAAGAAGAAGCAAGGGAGATATGTCATAAAAAGTGAAAAGAGTTGGTAGGGAGACTTTTTAAGTAAATCAAATGAAATGTTTGATATTTTTTAATTTTAGTAGTTTAGATTTCTACGACTAAAATTAAGACTTTACACAAGGATGATAAAAGATTGACTCATGGTCCAATCACTCATAAACACATTTAGTATTCATATTTATCCGAAGTTTAAGTTTTTATTCAAAACCTGAAATATAAATGCTAAACGATAATCTTCATTAATTATATAGTATTTATTGTGATATTTTCTCTTTTGTGTATAATCATAGATTCATAGTGACTGATAAAAATGTGTTGTCCCGTAATGTAATACATATATATATCATTATAAATACTGCTTATATTGACATACTACCAACACATTGTAACTTTTTTCTGTATACACAATGAAATAATCAGAATATTTAATATTTAATATTTAATATTTAATATTTAATATTTAATATTTAATATTTAATATTTAATATTTTAATAATAATGATAATAATAATTAGCAATTATTATTATTTATACTAATATTAAATCTGATAGGCTTTTCTATATAAATATATATATATTAGCAATTCATCATATCAAACTGTAATTATAAAAGTGTATTATTTATATTATTAATAATGATTACACATATTATGTATATATTATTATAACTATTATATATGGGAGGTATTTACTTAGTAAATTATGATAAACTTACTATATTTAATAACTTATTTTAAATTAAATTTTAACAGTTAAATTAAAAAAATTTCACATATAAGTCAACTTTACAAATTTATAAAAAAATTTAAAAATTATTTAATATTTTATTAAATTAATTTAAGTTGATATATATTTATAAAAATATTTTATACATTAATTTAAATTCATGTAACGACGTATCCTATAATTATAAAACTTTATAAAAAGTTATAAATTTGATTTGTATATTAAAAATTTATAATTTAATTATTAAATTATTAAAATTTAATATAAAATATAAATTATTAAGTAAATTAAATTTTTTAAATCTTATTCTTGAAATAATTAAATTCCTCTTATAAATTCTTGGAATAGTGTACATACACACACTACCGTCACATTATAATTATTTTTTTCTTCAAGTTGGCTCAAACATGACGCCACCAAAACCCTTGATTTAGGCCTTCAAAAAAAATTGTTTTTACATTAGTATTTATATAACCTTTTCAAAGCTAATAGTTCAAAAGTCACTTTTTTAAATTTTATATTTTTAAGAGATCAGTTTAAAAGGCTTATCTCTAAAAATATATAAATATAATTATTTTTTCAAGACCATTTTTAAAAAAAAATTTATATTAAAAGATATTATTAATTTTAATAAAGTCTCATTCTAAAATTTGTTTTACATCTAACAATGTGTTGGGCTGACTCGTAGAAAGAAAAGATATTCACTTCAAGAGTAAGTTTTGGTATACTTAATCCATTCAAAAAATTATGTTTTAATGATCTAACTGTTGAATTAAAATTTTGTAATATATAAATTTTAAAAAATTTAAAATTATATAATATCTCGTTATATAGATTTAAATTAATGTATGAAATATTTTTATGCATCAAGAATTTGTAATTTAAAGGTTGAATTGTTAAAATTTAATGTAGAACATGAATTAATTGAGTGGAGTAATTTTAAGTAGATTTAGTAAGTAGATGTCAAATTTTGTTAAAATTGAACAACAACTTGAAGGTAATCAAAGTGTTCATATTTTAGTATATTTTGAAATGTATATATTACGTCAATTTTATTTTATGATAATGAAGTATCAAATCATCTTAGATTAATATAAAATTTGACATATATGATCTAAGAGATATGAACTTTCAATCTAACGGTTAGATTTACAAAATTCACATTTAATATAAAGTTATTGAGCGGTGTAACACATAGTTAAAATTACACCAGTATCGTTTGAACCCTCCTCATATATATATATATATAAACTAAATTACATTTTTGATCATCCTATAATATTAAATACGGAAATTTGGTCCTTTTAATTTTAAATATGCAATTTTAGTCTCTTAATTTTTTAAAATTCATAATTTTAGTCATTAGTCATGATCTAATATTAATTAAGTTGATGACACAATTATTATTATTTTATATTATTTAAATTAAATTATACTTTTAATTTTCATTTTTTATCTCATTTTCACATCAATTTATTACTTTATGAGATAAAAATGAAAACCAAAAATAAAATTTAGTCCAAATATTATTAAATTTTGATTGTCATATCATCTACTTAATGTTATATATGACTATATTGCAACTTTATTGATGAATAAGTTACATATTTTATAAAATTAAAGAACTAAAATTGTATAATTAAAAATAAAGAGATCAAAATTACGAACTTGATATTATAGGAAAACCAAAAGTATAATTTAGTCATTTATCTTTGATTCTTATCTTTTAAATAATTTTTTTTGATCATGTATCTTTTAAATTTGAATCAATTTAGTTATTTTAAAATAATTATTATTTTCAATTTTATAACATAATTTCAATTTTTTTTAATTCGACTTAAAATTTTTCCCATTAAATCCACCTATATACATAAAAAGTATAAAATCCAACTATTGTTCAAAATAAAATAAGAGTCATCAATATGATGAATTACATAAAAATGAATCCAATGAACAATAAAAAAAATAAATTAAAGCCTCTATTATCATATTTTTATAGTTATTTGTCTCTATGTTTATATATATATATATATATATATATATATATATATTTAAAATTTTAGACCACACCTACTAAGGATATGTTTGCATAAACTTCTCTAGAAGCACTCATAGGAATATATTTTCGCTATAACTGAAAATATAGTGACATACATACATCGCTTGTGTGAATTTTGATATTTTTCTTTTACAAAAATAACACATTTTCTTCATTTTATAATATTAAGAAAGTATAAAAAATATTTCAACCGAAACAATATTATATATTGAAATGAAATATTACTAACTAAAAAAAAAAGGCATTTTGTGCCTTGTTATATTGTGCTGTATTGTGTAAGTTACAAAGCAATTATGATATTAATTTCTCATTTTCAAATTTTTACTTATAAGTAATTAGTAAGTTAAAAAAATATGGGACAAATGGATTCTTATAAGGAAAATTGGCAAATCTCGACTTCAAAAGACATACATGAATGTTCTATTAGAATAGAATACACTTTGTTTTCATAATATTAGGTTTCTTCATTGATTTTGGTTTCCTTTAATCTAATAAGACTAGGGATCCCATATACAAAGAAGTGGATCTTTCAAAAGGAAAGCAATACAGTCCAGGTGAATTCAGAACTCTTTAGTATATTTATTGCTTTAGGAGCTAAACTGAATGGTGGTTGGTAAAGTTTATTTGACTGAAAAAACATTATTTTATGATTAAATTTCAGAGTTCGAGAAATTGAACCCTCTGCACTATGTTCCAGTATTAGTTGATGATAATGTGGTGGTTTCAGACTCTTATGCAATATTTCTGGTAGGTCTAGTGCTACAAGCATTGAAAATATTGAGTACTCTACTCAATTCCACCCCCAAAATCTAATGATTTTTCTATTAGTTGAGTACATAAGTCTTAGGGGTCCATTTCTTGGCGAGTTGAGTTATTTCAGAAAATACGGATCATAAAGATGGAGTTGAGTGGGAAAATAATCAAGCTGTTCAGAATTCTGATGCTTGAGCTTCTTTCCAATAATTTCATGCATGTCCCCAATTTAGGTTTGGTGTTCCGTTATAAAAAATTGCAACTTCATATCTTTCACTCTTCCTTTTATGGTTAGCATTTGGAGGAAAAATATACTCCGAAGCCACTGTTGCCAGTTGATCCTCAGCTCAGAGCTCTCAATCTTCAGGTAAATTTCAAGATGATTGATTTGGATTTGCAACATGAATGTGTTGAGTCAGGATTGATTTTAAGTGCTAATCCTACTGGCACTGTATCTTCTGAAGCAATGGAAAAAGTCAATCTGGGTGTGAATTCTTATTGTTAAAAATTATATAGATTGAGGTTTGGAAATATCTGGTATGTTCTGCAGGACACAAGGTTTATAAAAGGACCATGGATTATAAGAACTTGTTCGCTATAAAATGATTCTCCAGTCTAATCTGTAATTTGAACATATACCCTGAAAGGAAATATTCTGACACTGATAATTTAGCAGGCTCAAATTGTGTTCTAGCAGTGAGAAGGTGCTAGATCACTTGTGGCTCAAAATATTTCTTGAGCTTGGCTACTGTCTGAAATTACATTATTTTACAGGTAGCAAGTATTGTTCACTCTAGTATACAGCCTCTTCACATGCTTAATGTTCTGGTACATTTTTAATTCTTTTGATTTGAAATGCTTGGATTGGCTATGCTCAAAGATTTTGGATTTTTGACACTTTAGATTTTTTACAGAAAGATATGGAGAAAATGTTTGGTGCGGAATCAAAAAACCATGTGCCCAATTTACCATTGACAAAGGTTTCCCAGGTAAGCATATTCTTTACTATCGTTTCCTTGTCTTTTGAAATTTTTTTAATATTTATTCAGTTCTCTTACTTTCACTTTTACTTTTATTTGGATGATGTCCAGCTCTTGAAAAGTTACTGAAGGATTTTGCTGGTACGCACATGCCACAGGTGAACATATCGATATGGTATAATCATGTTGCCCTAAAGCCTTCTTTATCTTTTTATTTACTATAATGGTTTGCTTCAATATGATTTGAATGTCTTATTTTGAATCTGTTCCATGTTGTTGTGGCCAATGTCAATTCCTAAAAATATTTGTTGAAGGTAAGCTATTTACTGAAGGGAGAAAAGGAAAATTGTAAATGGAACTTTCTTTACCTTTTCCTCATAATCTGGCAGAAAAAACAATACCCCCCCTCCTCCAATTTTACTCTTATACTATCATGCTGAGTTTGTCCATCATAGATTTTGAAATTTCAGTGTGCTGCCAAAATGAGTTTCAAGTATTATCTAATTCTTTCTATGTTGGGATCATGGTTGTCAAACTCGCGAGTCAACTTGTAAACTCGTACAAGTTTACGAGTCTAGGGTAGTAAAACGAGTTAACTCGCGAATAGACTCGGTTTTTGATAGACTCAGGCTAACTCGGGTAGACTCGGGTAGACTCACTCAGAATCGCGAGTCTGAGGCTGAGTCCACGAGTCCAGTTAGGTTTTTTTCCCCTCCTAAATGCTCCAAAACGACGTCGTTTTAGCTAGGGTTAGTAAGTGACCACGGTATTTTTCCCTCCGCGCATAGAACGAACGCTGCCTCCACCATCCTCGTGAGTCTGATTTCTCTCCCTCTGCCGCATACGAACGTGCATCCTCTTGCTGGGAGAGGAACGAATCCTTCACGCTTGGTAAGCGCTTCGCTGTGGGTGTTCGACGGCGACTGCTCGTCGGTAGAAGGAAGGAAGCTAGTTAAAAGAAAGGAGTTTTTCGTCGTTCCAGCTTCCGGCGTCGTCATTGAAGCTTCCGGTGCCGTCGTTGCAGCTTCCAGCACCGTCGTCGTAGCTTCCGGCATCATCCCTATAATTTTCGACGAACACCCACCAGTCATCGTTTGACTTCGTTACTCGTTAGTGTTACTTCTTACTCTAACATTTTTTTATTTTTTGGTCTGTTAGTGTTACTCACATACTCTTAGTCTCTTACTCCTATAATTAGCAAGATGTCTAAAACTAGTGGTGGCTTAGAGTCTTCAAGAAATGGAGTTTCTTCTTCCAGAGCAAGGAAAAATGCCCCTAGAAATAGGACTGACATGGGGTGGAAGCATGGGACAGATGTTCTAGGCAATGGAAAAAAGGTGAAGTGCAACTATTGCACAAAAACTATAGTGGGGGGATTTTTAGATTTAAGCATCACCTTGCTGGTACTAGAAAAGATTTTGAACCATGTGCAATGGTACCGGAAGAAGTTAAAATTCTAATGATGAAAATTGTTGCGGAGGCTAAAGAGACATCAATGAGGAAAAAGAGATTGCTTGATACTGATGAGGAAGATGACATAGAGAAAGAGATGGACATGAGGGCTTTGACAAAAGGAAAAGGAGTTGGTGGTGCTAGAGTTCAAATAACATTAAACCAAATGATGAAAAAAGACTACAAGGACCAAGTTGATCAACAAGTTGCAAGATATTTTTACACAAGTGTCATTCCCTTCAATTCCATTAAAAATGTAGAGTTTATAAAGATGTGTGAGATGATTGGGAGATATGGAATTGGTTATAAACCCCCTTCTTATCATGATGTGAGGGAGAAGCTTTTGAAACAAGCTATGATTGAAACTGATTCAATGCTTGAAGAGTTTAAGAAGGAATGGAAGAGGACTGGTTGTTCAATCATGTCTGATGGATGGACAGATAAGAAGAGGCAGTCAATTTGTAACTTTTTGATTAATAGTCCTAAGGGGACAGTCTTCCTATATTCATTAGACACATCTGACATCTCTAAAACAGCTGATAAAGTTTTTTAAAATGTTGGATGATGTTGTCAATTGTGTAGGAGAAGAGACTGTAGTCCAAGTTGTTACAGAGAATGCTACAAATTATAAGGTAGCAGGTGAAATGTTAATGCAGACACGAAAGAATTTGTATTGGACTCCATGTGCTGCTCACTGTATTGATTTGATTTTTGAGGATTTTGAGAAGAAGCTAAAGGTTCATGAAGTGACTATCAAGAAAGGAAGAAAGATTACCACCTACATATACTCTAGAACAATGCTCATTAGCATGTTGAAGAAGTTCACTAAGGGGAGGGACTTGGTTAGGCCCGGTATAACTAGATTTGTTACTGCTTATTTAACTCTATCTTGTCTCAATGATAATAAAGCATCATTGATGTGTATGTTTAGCTCAAATGAGTGGAAATCAAGTAAGTTTTCCTCTACACCAGAGGGAAGAAAGGTGGAAGGCATGGCTTTAGATAGTCGTCTATGGAAGAACATAATCATATGTCTCAAAGTCGTTGTTCCTCTTATGACTGTCCTTCGCTTGGTGGATTCTGATGAAAAACCTGTCATGGGTTTTATATATGATGGGATGGATTGTGCCAAGAAAAAGATAAAAATCAACTTTGACAATGTTAAGAAAAGGTAAATTTTTCTTAGTTCTAAACTATATCTCTATTGAAATTTAATGATCTTATTTAGTATAGTTATGTACTCATGTTTCTAGTATATGATAATGGCAATATTCCTAACTTGTGTTTATTTCATATTTATAGTTATGAACCTGTATGGAATATTATTGATGAAAGGTGGGATAAACAACTCCATAGACCCTTACATGCAGCTGCATATTACCTCAATCTCCATTTCTATTATGATCCTAATTTTAGAGATGATGATGTTGAGGTTAAACAAGGGTTATACAATTGTATGACAAGGTTGGTGAGTGACTTGAATGAGAGGAGCAAGATCGGTATGCAACTTGCTGACTTTCATTATGCTAGAAGGTTGTTTGGTCTTGATACTACAGTGGCTAGTAGGAAGGTTATGCTTCCTGTAGAATGGTAGGACTTCTATGGGGATGGATGTCCAGAGTTAAAGAAGTTTGACATCCGTGTACTAAGCTTAACTTGTAGCTCTTCTGAATGTGAGCGTAACTGGAGTTCATTTGAAATGGTAATTGAATTAATGTCTTTGTTTTTAGTTGTTAATTTTTTATGTTTAGAAATTAGAGTTTTAGCCTTATAGGTAACCTTGAAATTTTGGTTTTTGTGTTCTATTTTCTATGTTCATACAAAGAGAAGAAATCGCTTGTATCAAAGGAAGATGAATGATTTGGTTTATGTGATGTATAACTTGAAGTTAAAGAGTAAACAAGTGAAAAAAAATCTTGTTATTCCTTTTGACGAAATGATGATGAGTGGATAACTGAGGAGGGAGATGCTATTTTTAATGGAGAGAATGCCCAACCACCACTTAGGGATGAAAATGTAAATGTGGATGATGGTGGAAATGCTGAACTAGTTGGAGATTCAACCAATCCAACTTTAGATGACCTTGATTTGGTCTTTAATGATGTGAATATTGAAGAACCTTTATCATCAAATGAAGAGGATGAGCTTGAAGAAAATGAAGATGATGATGATGCACATGAATTTGTTGGAGGATTGGACTTTGATTGATAAATTTAGATCTTGTTTTATGTTTTTGACCTGTGGATTTATGTGTTTTCGACTTTTGATTGTTCATGTATGGTTAAGATTTGTATTATGACATTTTCTTGTTGTTATTTGACTTATTTCATACTTAGAATGTTTAATTAGTGATATTATATTGTGTGTGTTCATGTTTTTTAATATCTTTTAATATTAGGTAGATTCTTACGAGTCTACGAGTTTGTGTAGACTCTCGAGTTTGACAACCTTGGTTGGGATTATTACTCCTTTGGAAGTGAATTTTAATTTTCTGTGCAAAGGCATTTACTATGAACCTGAAAAGGCATATCTAACAAAGAAAATGTTGTATCATGCAGGCTGATGTGCTTTTGGCCCCACAGATTACACAGGCAGTTCAGAGGTTTGATATTGATATGGTATAGTTCTTATGATTTCTTGATATATTTGTTTTGTTTCTTTATACCAATATTGGTGCACAAGCTTGATTGGTTGGGAGTGAATATAAAGTTCTTGTCTTGTCTTGTCTTATTTTTTCTGTAGATCCTTCCAAATCCTTTTCTTGCAAATCCTTTTTCCAATTTCTCACTTGAAAGTTAAAATCTGGTTTCCTTGAGCAACTGACAGCATTTGTAATTATATTCAGCATTTTCCCCAAAAACCATTGATTTGTAATTATATTCAGCATTTTGTAATAATATTTAGCACAATACTATTAATATAGTTGCTTACTTTCTTTGTTAGACTATATATATGCTAACTTGCATATCTCAATATTGAATATATATTCTGTCAAACTTTTTGTTTATGCAGAACATATTAAAGACTAGGAAAAGCTTTGAAAAATTATATATTGCTAAAATTTTATATAGATGAGACACGTATAATTTAGGATTTAATTATTTTTAGAGTGAACAAACATACAAAGTGAGGAAATAAAAGTGTCTGACCAGCCAAGTCCCAAGAAATATTTTAAGAAACAATTATTAGAAAATCTCACTGCAAATAAAAGCCTGTCTAGCTCAGTCGGTAGAGCGCAAGGCTCTTAACCTTGTGGTCGTGGGTTCGAGCCCCACGGTGGGCGTATTTTTTATTTTTTTCTTTTTTTTCTTTTCTTTCTTATTGATTTTGGAGGTGAAGGTTGCATTTTTTTTTTGAATAAAACCATAAATTAGATATTATCACGTTAGTTAAGGATTATTAAATTTTTATTATTATGGTTTATTACTTTTTTCACAGATATTTAATAAAAAAATATTAAATTACCAAGTAGATGGATATAGCCATAGGTTCATAAATTAATCTTTTTGAACTACGTTTTTAGTTTATAATGCAAATATTTTTTTAAGGATCTATTTGAATATTCCTAAACAGTTTAATAAATTACTTTGTAATTTAACCTTTAAAATTTAAACATAATAAAAGTTAACTAAAATTTATTCATTCTTTAAAATATAGAAATAATAAATAGTATGCCTAAATATATTTTTAAGTCTCTAGAAAATAAATGAATTTCAATTTTGGTCATATAAAAAAAATATTCTTTTAAAATTAAAAAAAATATATTATTTTTAACTCTTCTATTATGCCACATTCATTAATTACTTATATGTAGAATGATAAATCAAATGACCATCTTAAATGACACTAATATACTTATAAATTTATTAATGTGTAACACTTTTAAAACAATTTAGTATACTTAAAATAAATGTTAGTTATTTATCTAAAAATAAACATTAAAACCTAAGTTAGTAATTTTAAATTTTGAACAGATAAAACTTATAATGTTTAAAATCAAAATTTTCTAATTTTATGGTCTAAAAATAATACTCTAAAATTTGGGGGGAATAAATAAAAGAATTAGAGACTAAAATCAAACTCGTTTTTATAATATTTTCTACTAATAAAAACATCAACTAATTCATTTTACATGAACTAAACATATTAACTAAATAATATATTATATCTAAATGCAACCAATATACATAAAATTCTGAAGAAAGGGTGTCCATTTTTTAAATATATTGAAGGGAAAAAGAGAAAGGAAGAAGCTATTTACAGAAGATTAAATAAAAAGTGTATAGTTAAAAGGTTAATTTAGTCCAAGAAAATATATAGACCAAAACTTCCAGTTACAAACAAGAAGCACCAATCAAATATTTCATTGTGTGGATGTTTATAACGTTTCTATGTTCTGAAACAATTTGGAAAAATAAATTAGATAGGATATGAACTCGGGTATAAAAAATTGTTTCTTGAAAATTTGCTAACACTCCTTGCTTAACCAAAGTATTCAAATTTGGCTCATTAGTAACCAAAATCAACTACTGTTTGTCTACTCATTACAAAATTTTTAGCCAATAAATTCAGCTAGAGAAGACTAAGAAGCACAAAATGAATTTGCATCAATTTCAACTAATATAATTTTCTCACTATTTCCCACAGCATCAAAGCATACCAAAATGGTGAAAGAAAAGCAGAGAATTTCTTAAGTATCTCTCATGCAAATAAATTAGTTCAACCATGTGATTGAGCATGCTATGGTGATAAGAACACTACAAAATAATTTTTAATATTCTTTATTATTTAAAAATTTAAGGTAAAATAGTTATAAAAAAAATATGTACACAAAAACATGAAATCACTTTTATATATAAATTAGTGAAGTCGAAACACTTCGTACCTCTATATTTTATTTAATAAAAATATTTAAAAATTATTAATATTTGACAGATCAAGTGTTGCATTTAGTCTTTAAATCTAAAAGTTTTAAGTAAAACCTTATTTATGTAAAAATGACTAATTTTAATGTTATTTTTAATTATTTAAAAATTTAAGAATAAAACCATTTGAAAAAAATATATACTAAATATGTCATAAATCATTTTGTGGCTCCGTATAATTACACACACTAATAGAATAGTAGATACTTATTATATGCAAAAACTTTTATAATCTTTAACAATTTTCATCAAACAATTTTTTTATTTTATTTAAAAGGTTAAAATTGTCTCAAATGAACTGTACACTAAAATAAGAGATCTATTTTATATATAAGTATAGATATAAATTATATATACACTGAATAATTAAAAATAATTTTATAATAAAAAGTATTTAGGCTAAAAACCTATTTTAGTTCCTTATAATAATTGTTTGTTTTAATTTAGTCTCACTTTTATTTTTTGTCTCAATTTGGTCTGTAATAAATTAATTGGTTGCAATGTCGGACTTTTGTCCAAATTATTTAAACGGAGTTAATTGTTGGTCACGTGGATGCCACGTGGAAGCTACGTAGATGCCACGTGTACGTCAAATTTTTGTCATGCATCTGGAAGCAGAACGGCCCGTTATGAAACTGGAACGACCCTTTCTGGTTTCACTCTTCGTGCGTTAATTTTGCATCCAGAACGGGCCGTTTTGGATGCAAAATTAACACACCAGGAGTAAAACCAGAATGGGTCGTTCCAGTTTCAGAATGTCACACATACAGTTAATGATTATATCCATAAATTTTAAATCGAGACAATACTTATTCATATATTTGTAATATTAAAAATTTTATATATAGTTTTTTTAAGTATAAATATATATTATAGTTATTTTTTACAAGTTTTTATATCTATAATTATGATTAAGGATGAAAATAAACTAGGTCAGATTATGTTATATTATAATTTAACAGATTTAAACCTAATTTTTTTTAAAATTACATGTTATAAATATTATATATTTATCTGTCATAGACATTTTTTAAAATGTTTGGTTACATAACAATCTTAAAAACTTACTTAATAATAATTTAACACTAATAAAAACATATAAATAAATATGTTAAATCTTATAAAAATTAAGTTTAATTTATTTATCATATAAAGATGTTTTTAATATGTGATATAAATTTTTACAAGGCTTAAATATGTTTTTAGTCCCTCAAATTTAGGGTAAATCTATTTTTGATCCCTCAAATTTAAAATTGTTGTTTTTAGTCCCTGTAATTTCAAAAAATCTTAATTTAGTCCTTATATTCAAATTTTGTTAAGAAATTTATCAAACATTATTGCATAAAATCTACCTATTGGTGTCCCTATTAGTGAAAATATCACATTAAATCCGGTTGATATTGCATAACTGTCTTAATTAGTCACTTTCAAATATGTTATTGGTGACCTAAGGGACTAAAACAAGATTTTTGAAAATTACAGGGACTAAAAACAACAGTTTTAAATTTGAGGGACCAAAAACAAATTTATCTTAAATTTGAGGGACTAAAAACATATTTAAGCCTTTTTACAATTTTAATTTTTTTTATCAACATAAACAATAAATAGAAAGTACAAAAGTTTGACAAATATCAGATAAATGAATAACTCCTCGAAATTTATATTTTATACATACGATAATTTAAATATATATATATATATATTAGAATATAATTTTTATTTTTTAAAATATATATTTTTTTAGATAAAAAAAATTGTGTATGTGTAAATGGTTTGTTTTTTATTTTTGAACCACATTG